CGTTACGGAACCATTCCGTTGAGGTTTTCAACCGTTAGATCAACTATCTCAGACGGTTACATGATGATCTAACGGTTACAAAACCCGACGGAATGGTTCTGTAACGGGACCTTAGCATTTTCCTATAGTTTGTTGCGGAAAATAGAATAAAATTGACACTTAAAATTATGAAAAAAATCTGAACTTAAAGTGATGGATCGATATTGACATGATAACCAAAGTGGCGTTAAAAAATATAAGCAAATCTTAGCTTAGATTTGGCACAGTGTAAAAAGTATATGTAACCCCCCGAAATAGTAACCAATGATCTCCACTCCACCACTCGTTTTATTCAAACTCTCCCCTTAACTATTTCAATAAATCTCCCCAGACTCAAATGAAACTACCAGAAAGATTCTGAGATATATACATACGTCGTCGTCTTGCCTTTGCCCCCACGGGCCACGTGAACTCCCTTCCCTTCGTCCCCACACAGATCTCCGAATCGCCTCGTGGACCCCATTCCCTCGCACACGTGCCATACAAAATCACTCGCTGACACACACCCCATTATCCCCGACCGAAAAAGCACACTCACTAAATAACACACACACACGCACAGTAGAGAAATCTCTGCATGCTGTGTGCAAAATCTTTAAAGCGAAAATCCACAGATAACGTTAACGTTAACGTTAACACCCCATGTTTTAAATTTGGCTGTCTGATTCATTACACTTATAAATAGCAGACGCCAAATTCCCCATTCAGCCCGAAATTCAAACAGCAAAAAAATTAGCCAGCCGTCATCATGCCCGCCAAAATACTTCTCCTGACGTTCGCCATCTGCCGTCTGATCGCCGCCGTCGGGCTGACCCTCGGCTCCGCCGAGCTCCTCCACCTCGAGGTGGAGGGCCGGCTCAGCCTGGACCCGGCCGACGCGGCCGCCGCATCCCGCGACTTCGGCGGCGCGCCGGCTGCCCCGCCGATGGCGGTCCTCCGCCCTGCCTCCGCCGGCGACGTGGCCCGGCTCGTGAAAGAGGCTTACGGGTCGGCCCGCGTGATCGCCGTCTCGGCCCGTGGCCACGGCCACTCGATAAGCGGCCAGGCCGCGGCCGGAGGCGGCGTGGTAGTCCAGATGACCGGTTCGCGTTCCGGCCGGCCGGTCGGGTCGGGAGAACCGGCGCC